TATTAAGACGACTATTAGGTGGTAATGATAACCTTATCTAAAGCATGAACAGATTTCTCAGCACATTCCCCGCCATTTTCTGAAGTCTTTAATACCAACAGACTGGATTCCTAGCCTGATGTGTTTCTATGCTGGTAGGTATTTACTTTTATTTAACATTTACTTAGTGTTCCTCTGTTTTGTTTTCCCAGGGAAAGCATATATTTGAACACCCTTACAAATCCTCTTTCACTAGTCCTGTCTACAGTCTGGACTCCAAGAAATTGAGGAAGAATCCAGGTCGCTTTTTCCAGCTACAGGCTGGGGATTTAAAATCTCTGGAATGAGATTTGTGCTTTACTGTTCTACATAAAATCAGTCATACAGTTCGTTTCCTTCCTATGTACTTTGAGTAACATGGGACAGTAATTCTGTCTTGCTCCTAGAATTGCTCTTTTGAGTATGTTGTATATATTTATAGTAAGCACGCTGTGAAGCTTTCTATTACCCTTTGCAGTGTGATGTGAGAAGGATACTATTGTTGTTTTTAAAATACATTTTTCATTTAATGGGCTCTTGGAAAAGTACTGAGAAGCAGGGAAGGTAGCAGAGGCCTCCCTGGGGGTGAAGAGACAAGGCAAGGGAAGCAGACTGTGCAGAACAGCAGAGATGAATGGCAGGTATCATTTGTCACTGTTTTGTGTAAAATCCTCCCCATTCCCACCCATTTGAACAGGCAGTCAACTTTACTTTCATTTATAACAGGATTTTGTCCATCATCCGTGCCTGAAAAGCCCTGCAGAGTTTCTGTTTCAGTTCAAACTTAAAAAGTATCTTTGACTTAATATCAAGAACCTCTATAGATGAAACTGCCCCAGCAAGCAAGTCTCTGAGATACTGTGTTTAATTCCAAAATCTTTGGGCCGTTCCAGTTGTTGCATGGCAGCCTAGCTCCGCAGTAACAGAATTAACAAGCACCTCAGCTAGGGTTTTGGCTTCCTTTTCTATTCAGTGTCTCGTATCAAATGCTCTATCCACTGAAGAGTTAATTTTCTTCTGATATAAAACAATGCTTGTCTAATGTATAGAAAAGTTCAGTGAAAAGCAAAACTCTCTACTTTATCCAAGTCCGGATGACACATTTTGCATATCTCTCTCTTGCATGAGTTTCAGGAAGTTTCTGCCCTGGGCGAGGCTTTGCATTCCTTCTGTGGAGTGTCGCCCTGCGTAAGGCGACTACAAACCCTCTGTTAACGTCTGCTGGAACCTGTTGCCTATTTGTTGACTTTCATTAGTCTTGAAAGAAGGGTGTTTAGAAACCTTGCTTTGAAAGTTTCCTTTGGAACATGATTTAGTTACAACTTTCATTCCATAATGTGTAATAGATCTGTAAGATGCATCAAGAACAATTCCAGTGCAGATGTGAAATTGGAAGACATTTTTTCCTGACTCCGGTCAGTGGAGTGCGATATCAGGTTGGCTATTCCATTACGGTTTCTATCCTTTTTAATGACCAATACTAGCACTAGCTCTCTTGTCAATGTAATCACTTTTGTCTCCACGCTACAGTCCCTCCTGAAGACCCAAGATGTGAATTTGACTGGTGACTACCGGGTGATGCTTTTCAAGGCGGTAGATAGTGTAGAGTCTTAACACCCCAAGGCAGAAATGCAACATGGCATTTTGCTGGGTTGCAGGAGCTTTTGAAGGTTGCTCTGGATCATGGAAACCATGGAGCAAGTGCTCAACCCTGGGAGCACTTCTCCTGGGATTGCCAGATGAGAACTTATTCAAAGCATACTGTCTTCGTTTTCACTGTGCCTGCCTTTGCTTAGTGCTTAAGGATGTTTGGCGTACTTGTGCATGTATCTGAAATGCAAATATTCCCATGGAAATTGGGAGATCTTCACTGCCTTTTGCGGTGTTGGAGCAGCAGAAAGAGCAGACTCTGTGAAGCAGGTGCTGATCTCCCTGGGCTTAGTCTTTTTGGATCTGTTTTGCCTAGACTTCTGTGGAGGAGAATGTGAGCTGGGCTCTCCAGTGGGTCTAGGTTATAGTTACAGACAAGGAAATGGGTTTTGTTGTTCCCTGTTAGGTAAATCTCATGGGCTGCATGAATCTCATTACCCAAGGAGGGAGGACTACCAGAATCCCAGGAGTGTTGGGTATTTATAGAGGAGATGTTTCTGCATGAGATGCTCATAAGGATACATTTTCTGATGTGTTAGTTACAACGTTAAAACTGCAAAGTTTGTTGTCTGGATAACTTATTCATAGCATTAATTAGCTATTAATTTGATCCTGCAGAGTTTTCATGCCTATTTATGTGTGATATATGTGGGAATTTTTTCTTGAGGCATTAATTTTCACTAAATTTTTCTATAGTTGAAGATACAGCAAGTGTTATCATCAAGCCACACTCTTACTGATGCACTTTTATAGTATCTTTTTCAATTATAACCTTATAAAAGTCTGCCTTAATATTAATCCTTACACAGATCAAGAAATAAGAAAGCAGGATACAAAATACTGTGGTGCTGTTGATAACCAAAGCAGTAAAACAAATGTGCTACAAGTGCAGTGGCACAAATGGACCACAGAAAAATCTCTTTATGAATGGGCCATGGGGCAACAAAGGTGTGAAGGATTTTTTTGGGCAAAATTTGATTTTTTTTTTTTTAAAGTCTGCAAGTGTTCCTTATGTATTTTAGTTCTCTATTTCTAAGACTTAATGAGAGAATAAGAAATGTGATACACAGCTCCAGATAAGACTGTTTTTAGTGCATTTCTGTCACCCTCAAGCTTAATAAGTAATGTTCCACTTTAATAGATGTGCTTGGAGGTGGAGCTGCTATCGTTTATTGTTATAACTCCTGAAAGGTATCACAGAGAATTTGAATTCTAATTTCAGTTTCATAAAGACTTTACATTAAAATTCACATTTGGGCTTTTGATACGGAAGGATTAGTACAACTGGAGATGGAAAAACAGCATGTAGAATTCCCTCTTCCATATGTCCTGTGGAATCATATTTTAATATCCACTTTACCTGCCTTGTGTCAGCCATTGCTAGAGGTGAAGCTGTGTGTTAGGATTTGGGGAAAGGATTCATTTATCTGTGCATTTCATTTGTGTTCTTAATTGAAAGTGAATGTGCTGTAACAGCAACCAGCTCACAATTAAGTGTCCTCAGATTTTGAGAGGTCTCTGAGAAAATGTGTTTTTTTCCTAGTCATCCAATTAGCATACCAGCCTGCCTGGGTGATGGGGGGACATGGGAGGGGACCATGATTGATCTGTTAATTACTTGGAGATTGGCAGTCCCTCTAGTTAGTTAAAAAGAAAAATTCGCTGCATGATCCTGATAGCAGAAGGTAATGATTGTGTCCTGAGCTTTTGAGAGCTGACCTTACACGGGTTTGTAGAATTCAAAGACCCTGAAAGCTGAAAGGTTGGCTGTGTTTTCGAAAGTAGTGCATTGCAGCTTTGAGAAAACTTTCCATGGAGGTTTTGCCAGCGAGCACTATTAAGAATCATTTTGTCACTTCATTCCCCTCCCCCTCAAAAAAAAGAAAAATAAAAATTAAAAAAAAAGGGGGGGGGGGGGGGGG